GTCTTTGCTCTTTTGTTTTCTGTTTGCATGGTAGATCTTTCTCCATCCCTTTACTTTAAGCCTATATGTGTCATTGCATGTGGAATGAGTCTCTTAAGACAGCATATCATTGAGTTTTGCTTCTTTATCCAGCTTTCCACTCTGTGCCTTTTAATTGGGGGATTTAGCGCATTTAGTAATTAAGGTTAGTATTGATATGTGTGGATTTGATCCTGTCATCATGCTTTTAGCTGGTTATTATGCAGACTTGTTTGTGTGGTTACTTTATAATGTCATTGTACTATGTACTTTGCAGTGGCTGCTAATAGTATTTCCTTTTTATGTTTAGCACCCTCTTCAGGACCTCTTGTAAGGCAGGTCTGGTGATAACAAATTCCCTTAGCATTGGTTTTCCTGAAAAGAATCTTATTTCTCCTCTTATGAAGCTAAGTTTGGCTGGATATGAAATTCTTGTTGAAAATTCTTTTTTTTAAGAATGCTAAATATAGCCCCAATCTCTTCTGGTTTACAGGGCTTCTGCTAATGGACAAATGAGCTTCTCTTTGTAGGCAACTTTCTCCTTCTTTCTAGCTGCCTCTAACATTTTATCTTTCATTTTGACCTTGGAGAATCTGATGACTATGTGTCTTGGGGATGCTCTTTTCTATGTAGTATCTCACAGGGGTTTTCCGCATTTCCTAAATTTAAATGTTGGCCTCTCAAGCAAGGTTGAGCAAATTTTCATAGATGATATCTTGAAATATTTTTTCCCAGTTGCTTGGTTTCTCTCCTTCTCATTCAGGGATGCCAATGAGTCATAGAGTTGGTGTATTCATGTAATCCCATATTTCTCAGAAGTTTTATTCTGTCTTCCTTATTATTTATTCTTTATATTTGTCTGACTGAGTTATTCCACAGAGGCAGTTTTCAAGCTCTGAGATTCTTTCCTCAGCTTGCTTGATTCTGCTATTAATACTTGCGATTATAGTCTGAAATTCTTGAAGTGAGTTTTTTGGCTCTATGAGATCAGATTCATTCTTTCTTATGATGGACTTTTTGTCTTTCATCTCATGTTTCATTTTATTGTATGTCTTAGAATCTTTGGATTGAATTTCAACTTTCTCCTGAATGTCAGTGATTTTTGTTGCCATCCATATTCTGAATTCTATTTCTGTTATTTCAACTATTTCAGCCTGGTTAAGAATCATTTCTGGGAACCTAGTACAATTGTCTGAAGGTAAGAAGGCACTCTGGCTCTTTGCATTGCCAGAATTCTTGTGCTGGTTCTTTCTCATCTTTGTGAGCTGACGCTCCTTCAGTCTTTGAAACTGCTGTCCTCTGGATAGGTTTTGAAGTTGCTGTCCTTTGGATGGGTTTTTTTTCCCCTTTTATCTCGCTGGTGGGGAGGCCCACTGACATCCATGTGTACATCTGCACTGGCAGCGGTGCCGACATGTTACTATATTCAGATTTTTCATGGTGCCAGAATTCTTGTGCTGGTTCATTCTTATCTGGAGACTCTGGCCTTTCTGACTTTTGTAAATATTTTAAGGTGGGTAAGATTTTCGTTTTTCTTTCTTTCCCTATAATATATATTTCGTCTTTTCCTTTCCTTTTTTCCTTGCCCCTTCCCCACCCCAGGAGTTGTAACTATAGAGAATGCTGGATAGGATCTTTTGGTTTTGCTTCTAGAGCCCTATGCATTTCTTCTGGCAGATTTTATATTGGGCTGGGCTATTTAACCTATAAGCATCATCTCTGGGCTTGTGGCCAGGTATACTCTTGATCTTTGTTACCCAAAGTGGTGGGTATACTCTTGATCTTTGTTTACTGGCAGAAACCCTCATGTTGCCATAGGCAATGGGCTGATTTGTGGAATGCACAATGTTCTGAGCTCCCTGCTCAACCCCAGGCGGTTAGGGGCCATGAAGCATGGGGCCTGACTGGGCAGGTTGCCTTCTTGTCTCCCAGTAGCAGGCCCCAGCACTAGTACCAAGAGAGAATCCAGTGTGCAGCTCCCAAGTGCCCAGAGGTGTGCCTACATGTGGAGCTGGGAAACCTCCTTAGTCCCAAGATCTCTGCACAGGGATGGGTAGTGGCACTAGCTGAACTTCTACCCATGCCACCTCTCTAAGCAGCCCTCCCTGATGATTCAAGGGTCCATTTTAATCCAGGAAAGTGGATTCTCCAAATGTCTAGAGATCTTCCTGGGTACAGAGCAGAGAGGGCTCCCCTGCACTAAGAGTTCTGAACAAGAGGTGTGGGGTAACTCAGGCTGTTACAGCAGGCAAGTCAATGCTCTGATTTCCTGGAGATCTGCCTGGGAGTGTAGCAAACAGGGTCTCTGCACAAGAGGGGTGGAGCAATTGAGACAGCTGAACCATGCAAGTGAGTGCTCCAAATGCCTGGAGATCTGTCTGCCTGTGGAGCACAAACAGCTTCACTGCACCATCTATGTCTAGGGAGAATTGGGCAGTTCAGGCTGCTGAACCAGGCAAATGCCTGGAAATCTGTCTGCACATGGAGCAGAGAGAGCTTCACTGTACCAAAACAAGTTTATTGGGGCCTAATTTGAGGAATGCAAGCCATGGTACACTTCCATGTTACCTTGGGAAGTGCTCTGGTCTACAAAGGACAGACTTGAGCTTTTAAAGAAAAAAGAATGAATTAGGAGAAGGGGTGATTACATTTTTCAGGTACTCTCATTGCTTACAGAATAACATTAATTAGTTATTGGCTATTGGATATATATGGTTGAACTGTAGGATAGGAGTTATGGTGTTTGTGTGAGACATGTTAGATTAATTTATAGCTATGTGGGGTGTCAGTTAGTCTAGAGTACACCTGAGAAGCAGCTTCAAGAGAGGATCACTTAGCTCAGGCAGGGAAGTGGGATATGATTGCTGTCTCATTCTAATGCCTCTCTGAGCATGATGCTTTAAAGGGGACTCACATTACTCAGATAAATGGTTTATTTGTAACATGAACAGACACTTCTCAAAAGAAGACATTCATGCAGCCAACAAACATTTAAAAAGCTTAACATCATTGATCATTAGAGAAATGCAAATTAAAACTATAATGAGATACCATCTCATGCCAGTCAGAATAGCCACTATTAAAAAGTCAAGAAAAAAACAGATGCTGGCAAGGTTGCAAAGAAATAAGAACGCTTTTACACTGTTGGTGGGAATGTAAATTAGTTCAACCATTGTTGAAGATGGTGTGGTGATTCCTCAAAGATCTAGAGCCAGAAATACCATTTGACCCAGCAATCCCATTACAAAGTATATACCCAAAGGAATATAAATCATTCTGTTACAAAGATACATGCACATGTATGTTCACTGCAGCACTATTCACAATAGCAAAGACATGGAATCAACCCAAATGCCCATCAATGATAGATTTGATAAAATGTGGTACATATACACTATGGAATACTATGCAGCCATAAAAAGTAATGAGATCATGTCCTTTGCAGGGACATGAATGAAGCTGGAAGCTATTATCCTGAGGAAACTAACGCAGGAACAGAAAACCAAACACTGCATGTTCCCACTTATAAGTGGGAGCTGAACAATGGGAACACATGGACACAGGGAGGAGAACACCACACACTGGGGCCTGATGGGGGTGGGGCCTGGGGAGAGAGAACATTAGTAAAAACAGCGAATGCATGCTGGGCTTAATACCTAGGTGATGGGTTGATAGGTGCAGCAAACCACCATGGCACACGTTTACCTATGTAACAAACCTGCACATGTACCCCAGAACTAAAAATAAAAAAAAATTTTAAAGTTTCTTTACTTTCTCATTTCTCTCTTTTGATCAAAATATTTCTTTATTTAATTGTTATATACAAGATGCAGAGCCCAGGAGAGAGGACAGAGTTGTGAAGGCAATGCCTGAAGGATTGGACCCCTCCCAGAACTGCCAAAAGGCACAGCTGGGGCAGGAAGGATGGGGCCCCAGCGATGGAAACACACCTATGTCCCTAGATCTCACCATGACCACTTTTCTTGACCCTGGAATCTATGGGCTCAATACCAAAGACATAAGGCCACAGAGAAGTTAAATAAGTATAAAGGTGTCACAGAGGCAACAATTTTATGACATTAAAACATCTAGGAGAGACAGTATAAGTTCAGTTTTCAATCAGATCTAACTATGAAAATCTGTCTCACCAATGGGCCATGCAAAAAAATTCTGAATTATATTTAACACCGATAATTCTGAAGGCATTTTAATTTTACTTCACCAACAATATTAAAATTAATTTTATTTACCAGAAATTACTAAAGTCATATGAACTTTAAAAATATTTGAGCTTACTTAATTTATGATCATTCATTTAAGTGAAGTGGGTGTCATGTAGACAACACACAAACACATACATGTACACATGTACACATAAAAATACAGACAGATACAAATAAAGATATTTAGCCTTGAGTTTACAGTTTTAGCTAAAACCCACTAATTTAAATGGACAGTTGGATTAAATTGTGCCTCTATAAATTAAAGTTTGTCTTTCCCACATGGCCAAAACCCTTACCAAGTCTGTGGTATGCAATTTACATCTCAAAGCAGAGAGAGAATTTAAACATTTTCAAAGAGGAATTTGGGTGTGTTATTTAGAGGGAGCTTAAGAATGAATGCATGCCAAGGAAACAAAACCATGGGAACTCACTACAGGATTTTATGAGGAAACAATCAGAAACCCTTTCAAAACAGCCAGTCAAATGCCAGAAAGTATTATATTAGGGATGAAACGCCAGTTTCCCTTTTTTTAAAACCTAGATCACTGAGCTTAGCGCCAAGTCCATTAACAAATGGGGCCAAGAAAGCATTTGCAGTTTTCAGCACCTAATATTTGAATGCGTGAAAAGCAGGCACGGCTGGAGGGCAGAGCATCTAGATCTTTAAAAATCATGGATCTCACTTTTACACTGAATCCCGGGTCCCCACAAAGAGGAAAATACCGTAGCACTGGCCTGCTGAACACTTCCACAACATACCTTATTGCAAGGAGGTTCCCTGAAGCTGGTGGGAGACCCAACACCAATTAGCCTCCTCTGTGGTCAGTGTTTGGGTGAGGGAGAAAGGACAAGATGGAGGAAGGTGAACAAGAAGGCACAATCTACGTTGCTTCCGGGTTCTTCCTCACCAACTTTCCCGCGGGAAAATGCAGCCCGCGCCCGGGAAGATGCAGATCAACCGAGCATGCGCCAGGTGACGTCAATCCGAAGAGATCGAAACTTACCGGGCCACGCCTATGGAAACGCCCCTATCACGCCCTTATCCCGCCCACTGCCCTCCCGCTTCCAGTACCAATGCATAAAAGTCCGCTGCCGGCAGGAGCCGAGTGACTTCTTCGGCCCCTCCTACTTGTGGACCGAGAACCTCGCCTGAGAGTGTGTGCATATTTGCAATAAAAGACTGCCGCTTTCTTATGTACTTTGGCCTCATATTTAATTATTTAGCTCTCCTAAATTAAGTATTAAATTAAGACAATTATTAAATTAAATTAAGACATCTCATCCCTCAGAGGAATCTTAGCCCTTGTTGATAAGCGTTTCCTTAGCCTCCAAGTGTTTAAACTGTGCCTGTCTCTTCTAAACACACAAAGAAACAAATAGCTTCCTGCAGGAATAACCATACCTTGCACATGCTGTCAGCTACTTCCAAAGCTGCAGCTCTCACCCGTGACTTGCCAGCCGTCACACACACCAGGGTCAAATTCTCTCTCACACTAGCCACAGAGCTCAAGGAACTCAAAGTCAAAGACAGCAGAGCTTTAGATCTGAGACAAACCTACCCATGACTCTTGGGGAACATCACAAGGAAGACAAAAACGTTCAAAACGGGGGTTGTGGCACCTCCTTCTAGGTTCCTCAAGGGGTCTCAGGGCTGCTAGAAGTCTCCTCTGTATTTCTTCAGATGGTATTAGAGATGGTGAAAGAAAGAAGGAGCAGAAGCGAGAAGAAATAGAACAAGTTTTAGAGGAGCCAATTTAGGAGATCCTTTTTTCCAAAAGGCCAATGAAATTTTACTTCATCCATAGCAAAAATCATGTCAATAAGAAGAGAAGTAGGTAGAGAGAGCACATATAGTTAGCAGGGGCTTAAGAAGAGAGAAATACAGTCTACTGAGAAGCTTTTACAGGGTGAACAGAGGTCTCAAAATATATATCCTAAATATCAGCTTTTAATTATTAATAATTCAACTTCTCACTATAGAGCTGTTAAAAATTGTTTTATCTGACTTTAGCTGGGCAAACAGTAAACATTCCTGTTTCTTTTCTTCTTCTTTCTGAAATTTACATTAAGAAGGAGTTTTGGGAGTGGGACATGATTGTTTATTAGAGTTCTAGGGTAATCACTATTTAAAGCTGTTTGTCTTTGAAATTTGCTTGATTGTTTACTTTCTTTTTGAGCATGTGTTTTTATTAGCTAGAGAGAAGGCTAAACAAATAAACCAAAAGTTCTTATCATATTCTAAATATAAACCCAAGTTTTAAATCCAAGTTATACCTGAACAGATGACTCAAAACCAATGCACAGACCAAACCCCAAATGCCTTTTATTGATTTATCCAAGATCTCCAAAGTGGAACAAAAATATTTGCAGCCATTCAAGATCCAGATCTCTTCCAAGAACAGCTCAAAGAAAGGAGAGTGTCACTAGCCTCAAGGTAGTGCAACACAAATCTATCTGACCATATTCTCTAGGGTCTCAATTTCTTAGCTGACCACCATACACAAAGGCCACACAGAAGATTAAGAGAGACAGTGGTGGCTGGGCACGGTGGCTCACACCTGTAATCCCAGCAGTTTGGGAGGCCAAGGCGGGTGGATCACCTAAGGTCAGGAGTTCAAGACCAGCCTGGCCAACATGGTGAAATCCCATCTCTACTAAAAATACAAAAATTAGCTGGGCGTGGTGGTATGTGCCTGTAATCCCCGCTACTCGGGAGGCTGAGGCAGGAGAATCGCTCGAACGTGGGAGGCGGAGGTTGCAGTGAGCCGAGATCACGCCACTGCTCTCCAGCCTGGGCAACAAGAGTGAAAATCTGTCTGAAAAAACAAAAAACAAAAAACAAAAAACACAAACAGACAGTGGTAAAACAGGAAATCAGAAGATGCTCATGTGGGTAGAAAGGATTAGAAATGGATACCCCTAAATGTGAAGAGTCATACAAATAATCTAAAACAAAGAATTCAAATTAATTCTTTCAAATGTTTCTTTCCTGACCTAAATTTATCCACTGAGAAAAGGAATTTGGTGGTGGGTCTAAACTTTAACTCTTTTTCAAATCCGATGTTAGTTGGAATGCTGCTTATCTAATTATTTGGATGTTAATATTTCAAAGACATGGTTAAATTTACATCTCCAATAGACTGAGAAAGGCCTGAGGAAGGCTAGAGTGACTTTTGTAAATCTTGTAGCAAAGTTGAAGAGTCAGTTTGAGCATGTAAAGAATTTTCTGGAGGAGTTCGAGGAGAACTAGCATTTAAACTTACTTTCAAATATCTTATTATCAGATTTCAATTAAGATGAACAGAAAGTAGGTATCCCATTCAATTTAGTTACGAAAACTGTTTTTTCCAATTGTGTACACAGATACATGAATTTAAAAATTTAAAAGGACCTCCATTTTGGCCAACATGTTTTGGGGTCACCTCAAGTCACATGAGTACATTTACCTAGCCATTTGCAAGATGGAAAACTATATGTGATATGGTTTGGATCCATGTCCTGAAATCCATGTTGAATTGTAATCCCCACGGTTGGAGGTAGAGCCTGGTGTGAGGTGATTGGATCATGGAGGTGGAATTCTCATGAATGGCTTAGTGCCATCCCTTTTGATATCTTGGTGGTCGTGAGTTCTCCTGAGAGCTGGTTGTTTAAAAGCTTGCAGTACCTACCCCACCGCTCTTGATCCTTCTCTTGCCATGTAAGATGCCTGCCTCTGCTTTGCCTTCTGCCAAGAATAAAAGCTTCCTTAAGGTCTCCCTGGAAACAAATACTGTCATGCCCTCTTCCTCTTTTTTTTTTTTTTTTTTTTTTTTTGACGGAGTTTTGCTCTTGTTTGCCCAGGCTGGAGTGCAAAGGTGTGATCTCAGCTCACTGCAATATGTCTCCCAGGTTCAAGCAATTCTCCTGCCTCAGCCTCCCATGTAGCTGAGATTACAGGCACAGCACCACACCATGCCCAGCTAATTTTGTATTTTTAGTAGAGATGAGGTTTCACCATGTTGGTCAGGCTGGTCTTGAACTCCTGATCTCAGGTGGTCCCCCTACCACTGCCTCCCAAAGTGCTGGGACTACAGGCATGAGCCACCACACCCAGCTAACCAAACCTCTTTTCATTATAAATTACCCAGTCTCAGGTATTTCTTTATGGCAGTGTGAGAACAGACTAACACAATATATATTATACACAAATGCAGCTGGTCTTCCTAAGGATGGTTGCCCCTTAAAGGAAAGCTCAGTTTTGTCCAGCAGTTTTCCTTAATTTTAGAATTTCCTTTTCAAAAGTGGCTATGGCTAGGACAATGTATCAGGTCGAAGTGTGTTGCTTTGTGAGCATCACTCCACAAAGTGTCACCAGTGAGTCATGAATCCCTCTCTTGCGTGTAACAACTGTTTATGCAATTCTCTTCGGGAGAATTGAACTCATCCTCATGTTTCTTTTGGTTGTGAACAAACAGGAATTGGTCACAAATGAAAATACAAGTCTGAATTTCATGCAATAGAAAACAGCTACAATTTTAACAGCATGCTGTGTAATTTTAGGCCAAAAGAAATGAAACTACTTGTGCAAGACTGCCAATGCTGTGACCTGGAACACCTGCTGTGAAATAGCAGCAGAAGAGACAGTTATCTTTTGTTTTATTCCTGAAACCAGAATCTCCTGCCCATAGACAGAGATCAAAACCTCCATTCTGAAAAGAGACAGTTGGAGAGAACAGCCCAAATAATGGCAAAACCTCACTTAAAAAGAAAGGGAGATCTGAATTCAGGAGGACACACCCTTTTGCACCCTGTGAAGCCTATGGAGAGTGAGGAACATACTGCGTTAATGCTGGTACCAAGCACTGAGCCCAAAATGGAAGGCAGTGTGTTCAGGGTTGGGAGGTCACTCTGAATCCTGCTGACTATAACAGATATGTCTAACTAAAAGAAGAAACTTAGGTAAAATTAATATAAGTAGAAGGTCTATTTGGGCCAAATTTGAAGACTGTAACCCAGGAAACACCTCCAAGTCACTTTGGAGAATAAAGAACAGACTCGAGCTTTTAAGGAAAAAGGACAAACCAGGGGAGGGGATGATTACAAGTTTTTCTCAGGAATTCTCATTGCTTTACAAAAATAACATCGATTAGTAACCTTTATACATTATTTAACTATAGAGTATGACTTGTGGTGTCCACATATGGCATTGTTACATTATTTTGTAGCTACTTGGGGCATCAGTTAGTCTAGAGTCCACATGGCAAGCAGCCTCAAGAGATGATTACTTAGCTGAAGGAGGGAAGTGGGACATGACTGCTTTCTCATTGAAAGGGGCATCGCATTCCTCGGATTAAAAGGATTTTGCGCAATTTATATTACAATATAGATGTACCCAGAATTTATTTAATTATCTTTTACTTTTTCCTGCTGTGTATTGTTTTTAAATCAGTATGTAATCTAAGGGTAGCATTATGTTTTCTAAACCTAACGCTTGCTCAGCACATAAGTGTTAATGTATTCCTTTCCTTCTTCTTCTTTTTTTTTTTTTTTTCCTATTTTGGGATTATTGCCTCTGGAAGCTATGTCTTTATTTCTGTCTCTGGTTGATAAGAGGAAAAGCAGGAAGAGGATGGCCTCCCTAGGCAGTAGCCTCTCCCTGAGATGGCCCTGATAACTCCAGTATAATCAGTTCATCCCCCTCCCTTTTCTGTTCTCTTCAGCAAAATCCTTTATTTATTTATTTTATATATATATATATGTATATGTGTGTATATATATATATGCATATGTGTGTTTTATATATATACATATTTTTTTTTTTGGAGATAGGATCTCGCTCTGTCACCCAGGCTGGAGTGCAGTGGTACGATCATGGCTCCCTGCAGCCTCCTCCTCCCAGGCTCTAGTGATC